AGGAGGCCGTCGCCCGCCTCCAGGAGGACACCCGGTGCCTGGAGCTTGCCGGCCGCCCCCGGCGCCCCTCATTGCCCCGTGACGCTGATCGCAAGGACAGCCTGGCCTCGCTCTTCGGCGGTGACGAGGACGAGCAGGACGAAGGTAGGGAGGTGCCCGGGGTCCCATCCTTCTCCATGGCTGTGTCCTTCCTCATGCCCGGCTCTATGTCCTTCCACATGGCCATGACCATGACCATCTCCATGACCATGCCCAGCTCCGTGTCCTCCTTCATGGCCATGTCCATCTCTGCGTCCTTCTCCATGGCCGTATCCAGCTCCATATTCTCCATGGCAGTGCCTAGCTCCATGGCCAGCTCCATGTCCTTCTCCATGGCCGTGTCCAGCTCCATATCCTTCTCCATGGCCATACCAAGCTCCATGCCCAACATCCATATCCTTCTCCATGGCCATACCAAGCTCCATGCCCAACATCCATATCCTTCTCCATGGCCATACCAAGCTCCATGCCCAACATCCATATCCTTCTCCATGGCCATACCAAGCTCCATGCCCAACATCCATATCCTTCTCCATGGCCATACCAAGCTCCATGCCCAACATCCATATCCTTCTCCATGGCCATACCAAGCTCCATGCCCAACATCCATATCCTTCTCCATGGCCATACCAAGCTCCATGCCCAACATCCATATCCTTCTCCATGGCCATACCAAGCTCCATGCCCAACATCCATATCCTTCTCCATGGCCATACCAAGCTCCATGCCCAACATCCATATCCTTCTCCATGGCCATACCAAGCTCCATGCCCAACATCCATATCCTTCTCCATGGCCATACCAAGCTCCATGCCCAACATCCATATCCTTCTCCATGGCCATACCAAGCTCCATGCCCAACATCCATATCCTTCTCCATGGCCATACCAAGCTCCATGCCCAACATCCATGTCCTTCTCCATGGCCATACCAAGCTCTATGCCCAGCTCCATGTCCTCCATGGCCATGCCAGCTCCATGTTCTCCTCCTCGGCCATGCTGGGCTCCGACACCACTGTTCCCTCAGGGCCCCCGGCCTCGGTGGCGGCAGTGGCACCCAGCGGCTACGAGATCCCGGCGCGGCTGCGCACCCTGCACAACCTGGTGATCCAGTACGCGGCGCAGGGCCGCTACGAGGTGGCTGTGCCCCTCTGCAAGCAGGCGCTTGAGGACCTGGAGAAGAGCTCGGGCCACCGCCACCCCGACGTGGCCACCTTGCTCAACATCCTCGCCCTGGTGTACAGGTGAGGGCCAGGCAGGCGATGGGTACTGGTGGCATGGTGGGTGCCGGGCCGGCACCCCTCGCCCACCCC